TTCACTCTCAGAAGGTGGGTAACAGGCATGGAATGCTGTAAGAGGAAAGTGTTTTATAAATATCCAAGAAGAGTTTACTCTAAAATCTTAACAAGGGAACAGTCTCATTGCTCCAGAAGAACAAATATTTATTGGGGACCCCAGTGTGCAAGGCCAGACACTGTAAGAGACATACAGAAATTCATTTAGTAAGTGTTTATTTTGTCTCTACTGTGTGTTGGGCACTGCTCTGTGTCCTGGAGTAAGAATGGTGAATCACAGAGTCAAATTCTCCACTCTTCTTCTAGAATAAGAAATATAAAGAAATCATTCTTTTCTTCAAGGCACTTACTATTTATTTAAGGATACACGAACTTTTATACTTAAGAAAAGTATAACAACAATAATTGCAACAAAGGATACAAGAAACGTCACCAGGAGATTGGCAGGAACCCATGGTGTCCAAGAAACCAGAGTTCAAATCCAGATTCTGATAATACCTTTGGACCTCAGCACAAGAGGTCTTTTATTAGAGTCTCATATTCTTATGTGTAAAATGTACCTATTTTATAAATACGCTTTCTAAAGTTGTTCTGATGGCTCAGTGGAATTACATGTGGAATTCTTCTGGGGAGTGACAGGGTAACATGCGTGCTTTCATTGAGGAGGACACCAGATTAGTACCTTGCAGGACACGTGGGATTTGGCTAGACGGACAAGGAAAGAGAATGCCCTACGGGCCAAGGAAAGAGCTTGATGAGAGACATGGATTTGGGGAAGTACAAGGAGTATTTGGAGGAAAGGGAGCTGACTGATTTGGCTACAGAAGAGTTCCTGCAGATAAGCAGGTAGAGAAACAACTCTAGGGGTAGGTGGGCTCTGGACCCCACACGAAGGAATTTCTGAGATAGAAGAGCTCTCCCACAGCGGTAGACACTGACACGCCGATCATCAAGTGAAGTTATCAATGATGTATCATTAACAGTACAAGGAGAATCCCAGTGTCTATCTGGTACTCTGTCTCCCTGATGGCCTGGCCAGTGGTTGAGATGACATCTTGTCATACTCCTGGTCAGTTCCTATCTGAACACTCACAGCCTGGTAGACATTTTTCATAATATACAGCAGATATCCTACCCGGCCCTCTAGTTTAAGTGTTGCATTTATGGCAAGAAAAAGCAATTTTTTAAAAGATTTTATTCATTTATTTGACAGAGAGAGAGTCAACACAAGCAGGGGGAGAGGGAGAGGGAGAAGCAGGCTTCCCGCCGAGCAGGGAGCCTGATGCGGGGCTCGATCCCAGGACCCTGGGACCATGACCTGAGCCGAAGGCAGACGCTTAATGGCTGAGCCACCCAGGCGCCCCAAGAAAAAGCAATTCTAAAATGACCAACGGGAATGCAAAACAAGGGGCTATTTCTCAAAAATGAGATGGCGTTTTGCAAAAATGAGCTGACTTTATGATGCCATCTGGAAAATGCTTTGGTATTCCTGACACACTGCACTGAGCATACCTTAAAGTTGACCAACCAGCTCTGAAATACTCTCTTCTGCTTCCCCACATATGGATGGAACATACAGGAATAGACATTATTAGTCCTTGGACAACACATCTGGTGTGACTCGTCAGCAATAAGGTGCACAGCTCTTGGCTGAATTTCCACTGAGCACATCAGCCTGACTCTGGGAACTCTGCAGGGTTGAGCCAGTCCTTGGTTATTGACCTTGTTCAGAAACTGGTGCTTCCAAACCATGGTCCGATCGAGGAGACTGTTTTCCCCTCTTTCCCTCCCTCCCTGCCTTTCTCGCCTATTCCTTCCGTTCAACACGTACAGGATGTCTGGAGGGTGTAGTGCCCTGTGGAATACTCAGACCAAATTCCAAGGGGACTGACCCCTAAGACACTGTACCCTAGTCAGACCTGTCACCTGTTTGGGTTGGCAGATGTTCCTCACAGTTTCTTCCAGAACAACAGTTTGTTCGCATAATTTATTATAATTGGATAGTGGAATTATGAGCAGAGAAATTCTCCTTTCTTAAATTCAGCAAGAGAACCTAATTTTAACACCAGTGGAAAAGATTTAGAATCCCATAAAATGAAAGAAACTTTCATTAATTTGGATAGGAATTAAGCTGAAGTTAACTTTGCTTTATAAAAAAAAAAGTTGCCCATAAAATAGTCTAACACTTGCATAGAGGAACATTTAATTTGCTGAAGAGAACAAATTGCTTCCAAACAATTAAAAACACCAATTTATGTGTAAACAACCAGTATGTTAAGTACAAATCATTCTTCTCTATTTATTGAAGTAGCTTCCCAGCTCCCTTGTTTGACAGTACTTCATTAGTCTAACTTGAATTACTTTATTTAATTGAAATTAATAGACATTTCCTTTAAAAAATATTATCTTGTTGAAACTGATCCCCCTCCCCAATTTGGCTACCCACTGAAAATGAATAAGACTGCTTTTAAAAACAATTCCTTTTTCTGAACAGTTTACAATAATGGTCAACACATTATATATTTATATGGCTGATTATATATCTTGGCTCCACCATTTACTACCTCTGTGACCCTTGAGGATTCAAACTTCCCTGAGCCTGACTTGAGTATACAGTACAAATAATAGCTATTTAGCAACTGCTACATCACATTTATTGGTTGCTTAAAATGCGCCAGGCACTGTTATAAGGGCTTTATACATATTAATCCATTTAATCCAACCATCAAGCCTATGACATAGATATTTTTGTTTATTTATTTTTAAGATATGTATTTTATTTTCTTTTTTTAAATTTTATTTTATGTCAGTCACCATACAATACATCATTAGTTTTTGATGTGGTGATCCACGATTCATTGTTTTCGTATAACACCCAGTGCTCCATGCAGTACGTGCCCTCCTTAACCCCAGCTCACACATGTGCATGCTAGGTATTTATTTTAGAGAGAGCGCGCACATGTGTGAGCTGAGTGCAGGGGCAGAGGGAGAGAGAGAGAGAATCTCAAGCAGACTCCATGCCCAGTGAGGAGCCTGACGCGGGGCTCCATCTCATGACCCTGAGATCACGACCTGAGCCGAAACCAAGAGTCTGATGCTCAAACAAGTGAGCCATCCAGGTGCCCCTATGACATAGATATTTTTATAAATCCATTCTACATATAAGGAAACTAAGTTCCAAAGCGGCTAATTGATTAGCCCAAGGTCACACAGCTGGCCAGTGGAGGGTCTTGGGTCCTAAGGAAGACAGTCTGAGGCCAGTCTTTACTTTCTAACTAGTTACAGAAGTGGAAGACTAGAGTGGTTGATGTGTATGAAAGACTAGCAGGTGACCTCACACACGACGAAGTCCTGTTACATGTATTTGCCTTACATTTCTGAGCACTGCTGAGGCTCCTTTTCTCTCTTAGGTGTCAAGATGCTGCAGGGCCTCAGAGGTCAATCCGGCCCCTTCTCTTCTCTACCCACACTCCCCCACCTGCCCCCATGTGAACTCCTTCACACCACACCTGTAAACACCATCTCTGCAGATGGCCCCATGAAGGAAACCATGCTCCTGTGTTTTTCCTCTCACACACTGACAATACTTCTGACCGCTGATGGGTGGGTTTTCTACTCATTAACCAATTCTCAGGCACCAACTAGATGACCTAGAATTTAACTCAACTTTGACACTATCCATTTAGAGAGAGCCTCAGATCCCACAGATTCAGAGCTCAGTCCCATAGGATGGCCTCCGACCCCCACTTCAGACACCAAAGTCCCAGGGTGTCCTTTGTACTTTTGACTGACAGGCTATAAATTGGGGTTTCCATGACCCCCCCTTGGGTTTGACTGTTTGCTAGAACAGTTCACAGAACTCAGGGAAACACTTACTTCTGTTTACCAGCTTATTATATAATAAGGGATGTGATAAAGGGTACAGATGAGCAGACAGACGAAGAGTACATGGGGTGAGATCTAGAAACTTCAGATCTAGAAATCTGAAAATTCCAAGACTACCTATGCTTCATATTTCTTTTTTTTTAGTTTAATCATTTTATTTCAAGTGTAATTTTTAAAATCATAAATGGGGTTTTGTAATCCAAAGTGGAAACATTTTATTCTTCATAGCTTCAGAATACGACAAGCAACTTCAGACCTTGCTTTCCAAATCCAGTCTTCTTTGCTATTTTTCAGACTTCTGAGACCTAGTATTTAAGCTACTCCAGTTTTAGACAACTATTGTACACTTAAGATTTTTCTGAAAACGGTCCATCAAATATAAAGAATGGTTTCTGTCCAAGGATCAGCAGTGAGGGAAGAAATATTAAACACATACCAAAAAATCACTTATTCATTTAAAAAATAACAGAACCAGAGCAATTCTCTGTCATGAAAGAGAACATGTAAAATTAATTTAAATTACTTTTGTAGACTTTGGTAATATTTTATTACCTACACAGGCCTCCATCTTACTTAAAGATCTTTTAGGCAAAGTCACCATCAGGATTTACTGAGTAAAATGAGTAAAAATCCTGGGTACTAACATGGCCCAAAATGTGCTATTCCAAAGAGGAACAGGTTACTACTTTTGAAGAAAAGAGCTGCCTTGGTGACTTCCCTCAAATGCTTATTTTATTTTTTTTTTATTATTTTTTTAAATTTTTTTATTGTACAAATGCTTATTTTAAATAAAAATAGTTAATGGAAATATTTTTTAAACCAACTTTCGGTACACACTGCTCACCGAATAAAAAAGGAAATCACTTTCTTTCCTATTTTAGGAAATCTTCCAACTTTACTTTTAAGATTATAACTTTTTCACCTTTTCTTGACTAATACAGTATTTAAATTTTTTAAATTCTACGTTTGAATGTAGTGAGTTCTTTTTTAGATGATCTTCACAACCCAGAACAGACACCAGAGCAACACTCGCAAGTCACATTGTTCAACTACAATGAGATGAAGATGGACGGATATCCAAAAACAGGTATGCCCTCTGCTCCAAAGCTGAGCAAGCTTTTAACATGTGACCAACACAGACCTCCATTCCTCTGGAGATCCCTCAAACTCAAAACGGTTCCATTTAATAAGTCAACATATTATTCTTAAAAATTAAGTTTGGTCACTAGGAAAGACTGAACAAAAATTATTCCCCTACCCCCAAAACAACAACCAAATAGCTCTAGTCACCCCCCCGCTCCCCACAAAAACAGGGAAGTAGTGGAGGCTGAAACCTTTAAATCTGAAATTTCAGCTCCTAAAACACTGCTGCTATTTGCTCAAACTGCAGGTCTACGTCTTTCCTTCTCCAATACTTCCCCCATTTATAAATTTATTTACACACATACACACACACACACACGTGTGCACACGCACTCATACTCACACATACTCTTACTCTCAAGTAAGACACTTTTTTGTGTTTGTTGATAAATTATGAGGATTATGAACTAGGTGTGTACAGGGTTTCATAGGTGCTTTGTAAACATCAGAGTCACTTGGGTCCTTTTCTCCAAAAGCCTGAAATCAAATTACACAACCAGGGATCACTACTTTCCCAGACGCTGTTCACAGGCTGCATATTGACGAAGGGCAGAGAAAAAGTCCTCATAACTGATGTTCAGGTGGGAAGGCAAAGAGATAATCTCAGTCAATCTGATGTGCCAGGGAAGAAAGCCTAACGTGCTGTCCACAGGACCAAACTTCAATACTAAATCAGGATCAGGAAAACCAGTTGACCTAAGTAAACTGTCGAAGATGTCTAAATCCAAATCTGTGGATCTCTTTTGCTGCTGGGCTACTAATTGGCAAAAGTCCTGAGCAGCTCTCACAATATCTGCTTTTCCATCTTCTGGGGAGAGCACCTTCACTGCCGATTGGCAATTTAAAACTTGATCATCTTTGTCATTACTATTTGCAAACTCTGGTGAGTATTTCGAACAATCTAAGCCCAAAATTCCTACTGTTGTCTTAAAATTTCATCCATCAATCTGGAATTATTTCTTTTGAAAATACCTCGCCCCCGCCGCCATCTTCCTCCTGCCTTGGCAGCCCCCTGGCTTCATATTTCTGATGACCAACTCCCATGCAGAAACTATCCAGGGGCCCACGAGGAATCACCTCATTAGAGAAAACAAGACCTGTCTATCACCCAGGAAATTCCAAGGGATTTAGGAACCGGATCAAAGACCAAATATAATTTCCCAGCTCCCAGCTCTCCATTTCCAACCCTGACATCTCCCACCTTCAGATCCATATGCCACACTGCCTATTTGTCAGATTTACATCATGTCTAAGAGGCAACTCAAATTCACACAGCCAAAAACAGCACACTACACTTTTCTCCTTCCAACATGTTTTTCCCTTTCAGTCTTCATCCTTGGAAAATGGCATCACTATCAGCCCTTTGGCTCATGACAAAAAATCTAAGGTTTTTGATTCCCACGTCAAGTCCTGTAAATCCAACAGATTCTTCCTCATCTTTTCTTCACTTGCACGTATGTAGCCTCGTCCAAACCTCCACCCCTCCTACTTAACTCTGCCAGGAGCTTCCTAACTAATCTCGCAATGGCCTCCCAGGGCTTCCTATAAATCCCTCTCCTTTAGAAGTGGTGTTCTCCTTTTAAAATGTAACTCAGATTCTAAGTGGCTCACCTCCTTAAAATACTCAACTGTCTTCCCATTGTATTCAAATTAAAGATTCATAAAGCCCCTGAAGACCCAGCCTCTGGCAAAGCCTCCAGTCTCATCCCAGCTCCTTCTTTTCCTACACACTATCTCCAGCCACACGAAGGCTCAGATGTTTAGGATCATTCCTGTTTTTGGACCTTCCCCCAGCCCTCCCTCTGGAAACATGTTCTATTTGATCATCCAATGACTGGCTCTTTTATGTTACTTCAAAAGTCTACTTCAAATGCCACCTCTACAGAGAGTCTGTGAGGTGGCTCTATCACTTTACCCCTTCACATTTTCTTCACTGAGCTATTTATCACCTGATGATGGTTTTTAATGTCTGTCCCCTCTTTCCAAAAAGGGCAACACACACACACACACACACACACACACACACAACGCATGTGTGCATGCGCACTTAAAAATATAAGTTCCATGAGAGTGGGAATCTTGTTTTTTGTTGTTGTTGCTCTGATTCCAACACTTAGGGTGTAGGAGCCAAAAAAAGATACTCACTGAACTAATTATTGTACTAAGTTTTTGCTGAAAAGTTGCTGTTATTAATGGCCCTTCTCCACATCAAGGACAATTTGCGTCTCCTACATGGCTAACCATATTCCATGACAGGATGGGGTTTGGCCCAGTTCACTCCACCACGTAGACTGAAAGGTGCCAAAGGGTGATGAAACTTCCTATTTTTCAGAAGCTGAGCAGCCATCCAGACCACTAGGCAGAATTTGGCATCTGGTGAGATTAGCTCTAAACCACAAGTGATACCTGGTAAACAATTAGTTTCTATGTTCCAACTTGAAGCAATGGTAGTCCCCACACCAGAGGCCAGGATGCGGTGTTGGGGAACCAGCATCAGGTCCTGGGAAGCACACGCAGGCTGGCAGGTGTGACAGATTTGGGGCAGGAGCCCAGCCACATGGCTGGGTTCAGAGGCCGGCTTCCAAGCACAGGGAAATAGGACTGACAGACACGAAGGGCAAAGCCTCATTTTTAGAAGGAATGGACATTAAATGTGCTGACAAACTTCAGGCACCTGAGCTCCAAGAACAGAGTAAGGTTCCACATATTCACATAAAGTAGAAAAGAGGGATGTGGCTCTCAAGAGTCAAGCAGAAGGCCACCCTCAGGGCTGAAGAGGGTGCAGGGGACTTGACGCCAAGCATCAAGCTGAAGGCAGCCTTGAGAGTGAAGGAGGTCATCATGGGAGGCTGTATTCCAAGCACTGGGCAGTCCAGTCTGCCAGGAGGGCCCTATGGATCGCCTTTCACCACATCATAACACTGTCAGACACGAGGCCCGAAAGCCCATCTTTCCTCCTGCTGCTTTTGATCAATATGATAGATCTTCCCCTCAGAGGCCTGTCTGAATCCTATTATTCTGCCTACACGCATGTGCAGTGAAATTAATGATGATGACTCCGGGCTTCAGAGCATCTGTAAACTATTATTAGCACCATCCACACCAGCACTTTATTGATCTGCCCTATTAGGCAACGACTCCATATGACCATTCTTTTTTAGGAAGTCGATGGGTTAACCTCCTCCTTCCTCTCTACCAAGATTCAGGATCAATGTAGACCCGATGAAGAGGGGGATTCTGTCTCTGCTTCAGGACCAGACCGGGGATGATGAGGTTTAGAGCCCTGTGGATTTATGTACAACTGGTAACATGGGATATTCTCTCCTCCAGGCTTGCGGCAGGCTCAGGAATTTGCTTGGAGGTAATTTTATGACACTGGTATACAAAGTGAATTTACCAAACGCTTAAAAGTGAAAAATCACAACCCCAGGATGAATATACAAGAACAGATTTAGGTTGGACCACTGATCACGCTTGGTGCGCAGATTGTTGAACACCCTCTTGTCAGGGATGATGAGGACAATATTTCAGCCCTGTCCTTGTGAACTGCTGTAAGCTTTAATTCTGATGTGTTCTGATGGGGTGGCCAGGGGGCTCAGTGCCTCCCTCCAGTGACTCTGTGTTTGATGATGATTCCCAACAGGCTTGTGGGGTCTTCTCTGCAGCCTGTCCCCTTCCACACAATGGGCCTCAGTCAGGATCTGGCACGCAATGGACACTCAAGACATCATGCCAAAAGAGCATATGAATGCTCCTTCCCTGGAAACATTGACTCTCTGGTTCACATACGCAGGACTCCGGTGATCAAAGCCCTGGCCTATGGTTTTCTGGGTGTTGTAGTAACAGAGTCCTGGTTGCTGCAAAGCAAATGTTTAACAACCACTGGATAAAACATGAGTTCATTAATTCTGTAAGGCACATGTAGAGATCCACGCATATGTAAATGCACAGACAGACAGAGAAGCATGGGTACTTGGTGAATGCATGCAGGCACGTCCGGTGCGTACCCCACAGCTCATCTAAGTGGAGGGGTGGGACTGCAAGGGGTTCATGCTGGTCACCTCCTCGCTTCCACATACCGGAGTCGTTGGCCGTAGTCCGATTCATGTGCACTTCTCTACTTTTCCAAACACTGATCTTTCCTCAAAATCCAACATTCATGTAAGCGTTTTTGGAAGAGAAACCATGAGAAGGATTTTAGTGTCTTTGGGCATGAGGGGAAGAATCTAGAGTGCTTCCCCATCAGAGTCCACAGAAGGGTCAGGATAGTTGGGGTGCCTCTTCGTGGGGGCGGCAGTGTCGAACGCAGTGCCATCAGCAAGCGGAGGCACGCACACCGGGAACGAGTGAAAGTGGATTTCCATCTCGACCGTGACTGCATTCTCCTCTAGCCGACGTTCTACTTCGGGGAAACATCAGTGACTATTTAACAGTCATTCAAACATTTTCCACTTCTTAAGAAAGCTCCAATGTATATGATAGACAAAGAGATGATAACATTACAAAACTTATTTTTCTCTGGGGAATCCTTGTTAAATTTGAGTCATGAATCAAGCCGGGAACTTTGGATGTGACGTTCTATTTAAGCATCTGTCCAGCCAATATGTGATTACATATTATAACCTGCTTCAATCACATTTGCTTCAGCATTAACCAGAGACCAAAAGTTCGCATGATACTTTCTCAGTGTTGTTTCCCTAGTCTGTATCTGAGGAAGCATATTTAGATGATTGTCGGGTGGTAAGTCCCTATGGAAGTTTCTGCTGTGGAATGTCCAAATTATGGATTTTATGATTAAGAGATGTTAATCATTACAAAAATAGTCTGAAAAACTAGGGAAACTAGGAAACTAACCATCAATTATATCAACATTCTTTCTGTCTACGTTGTTCAATATATTAAAAATGAAATTCTATGTTGTAGGAACTACTGGATAAAAATAAATAGGCTGCATTAATCCTTTCTCTTTTCTTTCTGACTTTCAAAATAACATCAGATTGAAAAATCGATACACGTTTAAAGTTTTTGTTTTTATACTTCATTGTTTTTAAGAAAGTAAATCAGCAGTATCTTAATCCACAGGATTTGCTCCCCTTGCTTACTAGTCGATATTGACATCAGAAGGTCTCACAGATAAACCCGTTGCAAGCCTTCTACAACAAGAGCCCTCGGTGCTTTATCAATCATCAATCTCAAGATTCAGCAAAAAAAAAGAAAAAAAAAAGATGGTTTTGTTGTTGTTGTTTTCCTAACACCTATCACTTGGGCTTTTTTCTTTGGCCAGTTTCTGCAGAAATAGTTAGAACTTCTCTTATTACTCTCTGAATAGGTTTTTCCAGTTTCTTCTTACAGAAGGGGGGATCATTTTATGAACACTTACAGGAAGAGAGACAGCAACACAGAGGTGACATGACCAGGAGAGACCCCGGTGTGGTCAGAGTCCAGGGAGAGGAAGCTCCTTCACAGAACACGGAGCCCGAGAGAACCTGACCACTAAAAATCCAACCTAAACCTAAACATTTTTATCAATTGTGCATTAATGGGGAGTGAGTGTTTGTGAACCTGTTTGAAGCACATTTTTTTGAATCAAAGAAACCATGGATTTTATTTCTATTGGAGATGACTGAGGATTTGGGGCAAATGGTCTTCAGACTGAATCTTATGTACTCTTCTCTCCCTTGGCAAAGATAATGCTCGTGCATCAGGAAGGGTCTCCGTGCTCATTGGGCTTTGTGTTATTTTTGTTTGTTTGTTTCAACTAAAGCTTAGATTATCCAACACTGACTTTTAACCAAGGATTAGTTTATTTTCTCATTTAAGGAATCATTTTCTTATAAGTGGAAAATAAATTACACAGAACATTAATAAATATTGCTTCTTTCCCAGATTCCTGCTGGCCTAAAGAACTCTATAGTTTCTCAAGCATGATGTGTATTACTGATTAATCCTAACACCAAAAGGAAGAAATGAGGAAACTTTATGTGCATACATAGATTATGCACACAAGTACACACACACACACACACATATCCCTTCAATACAGGTACTGATGAAACCAGGATTTTTGGGTGCACATGTACCACCCATTGACTGGACAATTAAAACTTAGATGCAAGCAGACAGCAACTTTACTATTTTTCACAGCTTTTGCTTTAAACCCGCTCTTTCTCCTCTCCCTCTAGATGGATTCTGAGGCAGTCCCCATAACACTTTTAACCATATTTAGCTACTAACACACACTGTGTTAACATCCAGATCATTCTAATACCTATCTTCAAATTCTCATCGATTGTGAACTCCTCTGCCCCCACCTTGTGCCTGACTCCGTGGAGACAAAGTATGGTCATCTCTGTCCTCAGATTTGTTCTTCCCCTGCAGTTCTGTCCACGCACCAGCCACCCCCAACTCTGCAGGATGGGACAGGAGAGGGAAGGGGTGGAGAGGATCGTATCTAACTGGAAAGCTGTGCATCTGGAACCCTCCGCACATGACAGAGGGTCACATACTAAGTCCTTCTCTCTTGGAGGCTTTTGGCAGATTTTTAGAACCACGACCACTAAGGACTTTATACCTAAAGTTCTCAGCGGATGATGCCTTCTCACAAGCTGCCCCTCAGCCTCCACCTTCAGCCAGTACCCCACACAGAATCCCTCTGTCGGGATCATCTTCTCCGCCTGGGTAACGTCTCCTTTGGGACAAATCAAGTCCGGTCTTCCTTCTGCCAATGGGAGTGTAGCTCTCTTCCTCGCTTTGTGCCAATTTCAAGGATCCTCTTACTTTTGACATTTCTGAGCATGAGTTTCAAATTCCTAAACTTCATGTGAGCTTTGAATGATTCTATGAAGTCCCATTACTTGACTTGTGAGAAAAGGAGGGCACCTCTTTTCCTAAAGGAAAGGAGGGGAAATACAATGATGCTCCAGTAACACTCTCTGTTTCCAAAAGAACTCGCTCCCCATCTTCGGCAACGACATCAGAGCTGAACATTTTGTTGTCTGTCCTGGAGGTGGGGGCTGGGCAGGTGCTGGCCCAACCTGCCCTGGCCCCCTGATTCGGAAATCCTGTATGTGGCGGGAGGAGGATGAGAAGGAACAACCCTCCATTCCTTCTCTGCCTTGATGGGGTTAGGAAGATGCCTCGAAGAAAGAAAGAAGGTTACCTAGCTGACAGACTTCCCGGAAAACAATGACCAGTGCCTGCAGGAGAGTCTACCGATGGAAGACTTGCAGCGGGATGTATGCAATCTCTCTAGGATGGCTCATGGAAAATAAACCTGCAATCCATGGATTTATCAGGCGTGGATCCTTGGAAATGTCATTGGAGCTAAATATCTATCTGGATGTAAAATGGAGATATTCCACTGACTGAAACACCGGCTTTCTATGTAAGTAAGATCTCCGCACACACAACTTAGAGCTTTCTTACTTTGGGGCAACGTGCATCTCTACACAGTAAGAGAGAGCCTGGGGACCTGCCTGGACCTCCCTCTGCTTTGGCTCTGCCTTGTGATTGCTTGGATCCTTGAAATTATTATTAAATCTTGAATTTGCATAAGGTCTCTGATTCATGAGAGTCTGAACTGACAATCCAACCTTCTGTGTTACTTCAGTGTTTTAACTCCTTGCTTTAAAAGGTAGGGTTACAAAAATAAATTAATAAATAATAAAAAATAAAGACAGACAGAAAGAAAGAAAGAAAGAAAGAAAGGGTGACTTTAAATCTATTTTAAATCTATTTTTTTCAGGTTTGGTACCAGAAAAGAAAAAAGGATTCCCAGCACCACCCCCCAGTGGATATCTTCATTTACTAGAAAGGGTAAAGGAAACATCCCAGTTTCCTTCGGTTCTGTTTTGGGGGCTCAAATCTGACAGGCACTGCCTGATACAAGAATTCTCCTGGTTCTAATATTCAGCGCAGCACGTCTTCAGGGTGACTGCTCCGAGAGCCCCAAGATGATGAAGCAAGTCCTGAAGGGTCAGGACCGCATGGGGTTCGTCTCTGGATCATCGGTGCCTCGCACAAAGCAGGTGCTCCAATCAATGAGCAGTGGTGATTGAAGTTGGAAGGCAGGGCTTTTCCTTTGCTGGAGTTTGGGAATGAGAGATGGGCCGGAGATAATATTTAATCTCATCTTGGGGCTCTACTTTTGGCTGCAGGAAACAGGCCACAGCACAGGCTGGGGCAAGGGAAGGCAGAAGGCACCAGAGCACCCAGAGAAGGCAGCCCTTGTCAGGAGGCTATGCGGAGACCTGGGGCAGGGTCGCTTTGCTTTGGTTACAAATCATGTCCCAGGTGAAGAGAGAAAGGTATTCTATTTATTCTTGGAGCAGGACTGCGCATGCAGTGCGACAACCAGGGGGATTACGCAGCAGCAGAGCCCCTCGGAGAGTCTGGTTACTTTGGAAGCACCCAGAAACCCCAATCTCGGCGAGAACCAGGGAGCTCGTGGGGAAAGCAAGGGTCACATGAAGGTGCTGTCCTCAAGCCACATGGAAGGAAGGAGACAACTATAGAAAGAGCATTACTGGGAGAACACAGAGGATTGTTCGTGACCAGGCGGAAGAAGCGCCTGACGATTCAAAATACAAAGCTTCGGGGTCCTGGCTTCAGCAGAACAGGTCTGATTTTAAGAACTCGGGTACCAGTCATCCCAGACGATGCTTGAATGAAAAAGGTGACAACCAGCCTGCATGGCTGTGGGGTACATGACTTTGGGACGGACTTCGAGATATATGTTGATGGACCCCTTCTTTTATTTGGGGGTTTTTTAAATAGAGTACAAAAATCCTTTTAAAAACATTTAAATGTTTGTGAGGGTTTTTTTCTGTTTTTGTCTTTGTTTTACATAGACGCATATGTTTGTTGAGTGCATCTAATGCCTCATATGCTCCCCCCTCCACCATATTTTATAATCCAAGTGAAAAAGGATTCAAAAAGGCATCTCACTGTGCTCAGTTTTAAAAAACACAATGAACTCTAGGATTGCAGGAGTTTGCTAATATGCTGAACTGAAAAGGACACCGAGACCAGAGGAAGTTTTGATGGGGGAGAAGGTCCTGCCTTATGCAGGTTGGAGCAATGAAATGGTGACGTGTGCATATTCACGC